GACATGTGCAAAAGATAATAGAGATAAAACCCTACAACTTTTGTATTTTACTTTTTTTTGTATTTTTTTTCATTTTAGTTGTAGGAGCCGCACCAATTATAAGGAACAGACCCTGTATCTTTATTAAAATTCTACGTCATTTTTCAAAAAATTCCATTTCATTCGTTGAAATTCCATTTTCCATTCGTTTTTTAAAAAAATGTAATTTTTTTTTGTAATTCCGTGTAATTTTACCATTCATTTCCATGTAACATTTTAAAAAAACTTCATTTTTCTAAAGTTCCACTTCGCTCCTTGAAATTTCGGAAAATTTTACTGTTCGCGTTTTTTTTTTTTTCAAAATTCCATGTAACTTTATTGGAATACCAAATTTTTTTGAAATTTCACGGGATTCCATTTTATTCGGTAAAATTCCATGTAATTTCAACTCGGAATTCTTGTAATTTCACCATGTAATTTTAAAATTCCATGTTATTTCTCTGAAATTTCGTAGAGTTCCATGTAACTTTGTTAAAATATGTACTACGTCATTTTTCTAAAATTCCATGAAATTCCACTTCATTTGTTGAAATGTCATGTAATTTCACTAGAATTCGACTTTATTTCTTGGAATCCCGTGTTTTTTTTTCAATGAATTTGAAAATATGTAATTTCATCAAAATACCACGTCATTTTTCTAAAATTTCAGGTACGTTTTACTAAAATTCCACTTCATTCCTTGGAATGTCACGTATTTTTTTTTAGGAATCTTATGTATTTTCTGGAACTTCATATTATGCTTTGGAAATTCCGTGCAATTACACCAGAATTTGTGTTCCTTTTTTTTTGGAATTTAACTTAATTTTTTGGAATCCCTGTGTAACTTTATAAAAAAAAATTACGTCATGAATTTCCAGGAAATTTTACTGCATTTCTGCGTTTTTTTAAAAAATTCTCTGTGTAATTTTATTGAATACATACTATATTTTGCTAGAATTCCATTGAATTCTCCTTCTTTGCTTAAAATTCTATGTAATTTCACTTTAGAAATCGTGTAATTTCACTGAAATCCCATGTAAAATTACAATTCCATTTAATTTCACTGAAAGTTGATTTTCGTAATTTCAATTTTTTTTTTTTTTAGTTTTTACTTTTTTTTCTATTTATTATTGGAATTCACAAAATTACAATTTTCAATTTTTTTTTCTGAATTCATAAGATTACAATCTCAAAATTCATAAAATTACAATTTTGAAGTTTTTTTAAAATTCGCAAGATAACAATCACAAAATTACAAATTTGATTTATTTTAGAATTTATAAGATTAATCTCAAAATTCACAAAATTACAGTTTTTAAATTTCTTGGAATTCACAAGATCTTAAAATTTACAAAATTTCAATTTTAAAATTTACAAAATATTAATTTTAAATTATTTTTGGAATTTACAAAGTTACAATCTTGAAATTCATAAACTTACAATTTTTAAATTTTATTATAATTATTAAATTTTCTTGGAATTTATAGGATTATAATTTCAAAATTCATAAAACTATAATTTTGAAATTTTCTCGGAATTCACAAGATTTGATTACAATTTCAAAATTCACTAAGTTACAAGTTTTAAATTTTCGTACAAATCACATTTCGGTTTTTTTGTTTATTTTCAATTTTTTAGACTTTTTATCCTAGTCTAGTTTTTCCAAAACTTTTGTATTTTTTTAACTTTTTTGAGTTTGGATAACTTTTTCGTTTTTTTTTTTGGGTTTTTTCAACTTTTTGGATTTTCAATTTTTTTGTTTTTTTTCAACTTTTTGGACTTTTTGCAACTTCTTTGGATTTTTATATTTTTTTTTGACATTTCAAGTTTTTTTGATTTTTTTTGAGGGTTTTTTAATTTTTTTTAGGCTTTTTAAACTTTACTCGATTTTTTTGTGTTCTTTGATTTTTTTTGAATTTTTCAAACTTTTTATAAACTTTTTTGGGTTTTTTCCATTTTTTTGACATTTTTCAATTTTTTTTTTTATTTTTTGAATTATTCAAATTTATCTTGCCTTTATTTTTTTCTGATTCCTTTTATTTTTTAACTTTTCAATTTTTTCATTCTTTGGGGTTGTTTCAACTTTTTTGAATTATTTACCCAAATTTTTTTCAATTTTTTCAAACTTTTAGATTTTTTTTTTTGTTTTGGATTTTTTTTACTTTCTTGTTTATTTTACCTTTTTAGATTTTTTGTAAACTTTTTTGAGTTTTCTTAAATTTTTGCAATTTCTTTTCGAATTTTATGTTTTATAATTTTTCCAATTTTTTTCGATTTTTAAATTTTTTTTTTTCAATTTTTTGTTTTCATTTTTTTTTTTAAAGCTGAAAAAACCCAAAAAAATTCAAAAAGTTGAAAAAGTTTGAAAAAGTTGAAAAAAATTCAGGTGAAATAATTCAAACAAATTTAAATAACCTTAGAAAATAAAAAAATTGAATTGTTGAAAAAACTGAAGAAAAATTCAAAAAACTAAAAAATGCATAAAACATTTCAACACATGAGAAAAATCTCAAAAATGCCAAACAATTTGAATATTTTAAACAAAACTGGTAATACCCCTGAAAAGTTGAAAAAAACACAAAAGAATTAAAGAGAAATTTGAAATGAAGAGAATCAAAAAAAATTACAAAGAAAAAGTTGAAAAAATCTAATTATATTGAAAAAACCTTAAATGTTGAAAAAATTGTATAACATTCAAAAAGTTGAACCCAAAAAAGTTGAAAAAACCCAAAAAATAAAAAAAATTCACCAATATTGAAAAAGTTGAAAAAAAAAAACCAAAAAAGTCAAAAAAACCCAAAAAAATAAAATAAAAAAGTTGACTAAACCCAAAAACGTTAAGAGACTTCAAAAAAAAAAAATCGAAAAAGTCGACACCTCAAAACAATTCAAAAATCAAAAAAAAAAAATCGAAAAAATTATCCAAAATTAAAATAGTACTTTTTTATATATTTTTTAATACTTTGATTTAATTTGAGTAGGTACTTTTCCCAATTGAAAATTAAAAAATTCCGAGACGAAATAAAAACGCGTTGGCCATTTTCCGCTCATAATAGCCGACTGTCAAGTGTCAAAATTGCCATTGTCAAAAGACATTCAAAATTCTTAAGCCTACTTAGTTTGATAAAACATAATAAAGGCTTATGATTATGTTAATTTTGATTTAATTAAGTCTTAATTAAGCCATAATTAGTCATTTTATTCTATTTTGAATGGTTTTTTGGAGTTTGCGTTTGCAGCGCCATCTCGTGACAAACGGGCGTAGTTTCATCATTGTTTCAAAATGGCTACGCGCTTTTATATCGAGCGTCGGTTTTTCATTGAATTTTCCAATTTTTCGGGACTTTTCAATTGGAAAAATTACATTAAAGTGTTCGGAAAAGTGCCGCAGTTCAAATTCTGTGTTTATTTCACCCAGAAAATAGAATTTCTAAGTGGAGGTCGCAGTTTTGAGAAGTGAGTGCAAGAAATTCCATTAATTATTATAATTGCGAAAACCATTGGTAAAATTAGTGCAAAAAACATGTATTTCCGTCACTTTCTTTCACATGCTAATAGAAAAGGACACGAATACACTCAGTGCGCACTGAACTAACCAATGGATTTCACTATAAGACTAGGCCTTTTGTATGTAAAGTTTAATAGTGTTTTCATGTTTTAATATGGTAAAAAAAGCCGAGCAGGTACAAAAATATGTATTTCTATCTTTTTTTTCTACCAGGCTTATAGAAAGAGATAGGCTTACGGAAATTATGAGGCAAAATATGAAGCGATATCACTTTGAAAAAACCCTAGAACCATTACAGGGATCTGTATTTCTATTACCGGCCTTACTAGATTAATAGCGTTTGCATATGTCCAACTTTTTCACTAAACCTGGTATAAAAAAGATAGAAATACCAATTTCTTTTGCAACCACATAAAAATACCATAAATTATACACACAAACACAATAAATCAACGTTCTTGGTACTCACCCCGTGAATTGTGTAGCCCCCATCGAACACTCAAAGTTTCTGGACAAAATAAACACATAATTCGAACCGGGACACTTTTCCGAACACTCTAGAGTACTTTTTCCAATTGAAAACTGGAAAATTCCGAGAAAAACGGACGGACGAAATAAAAACGCGTTGGCCATTTTCCGCTCATAATAGCCGACTGTCAAGTGTCAAAATTGCCATTGTCAAAAGACATTCAAAATTCCAAAGCCCACTTGGCACATACATAAACAACATAATAAAGGCTCATAATTATATTAATTTTAACGTAATTAGGCTTTAATTAAGTCCTAATTATTTTTTTTATTCGATTTTGGGTGTTTTTTGAGTTTGCGTTTGCAGCGCCATCTCGTGACAAATAAGCGTAGTTTCATCATTGTTTCAAAATGGCTACGCGCTTCTATATCGAGTGCCGGTTTTTCATTGAATTTTCCAGTTTTTCGGGACTTTTCAATTGGAAAAATTACATGAAAATGTTCGGAAAAATGTCGCGGTTCGAATTCTGTGTTTGTTTTTTCCAAAAAACTGAATTTCCGAGTGGGGGCCACAGTTTTGAGGAGTGAGTACAAAAAATTCGATTATAATACAACTAGGCTTTTTGTCTGTATAATTTATAGTGTTTTTATGTTTAAAACATTTTTCCGCATTTAAAACCGGAAAATTTCCAGGAAAAACCTGGACACAATCCAAACTATTCCAAACGCAACAATCCTCACTCCGCGCCTAAAAACGTCATTTGTCATGTGTCGAAAAAACAACATGGCCGCTCATAGTTTACCCCAACGGAAAACTGTAAAAATGTGAATTTTCACTTACCTTTGGAGCACTTATGTAGAACACTTTTCCGCATTTAAAACCGGGAATTTTCCAGAAAAAACCTGGACACCATCTAAATACAACAGTCTTCACGCTGCGCCTAAACGTCATTTATCAATTGTCATCGTGTGCTGAAAGGAAAACAACATGGCCGCCCAAAGTCTATAGGCAAATAAATGAACAAAACTCAATAAAAACTCTTTAATCATTACTAATTTTGGGATACTTTTTATGTACATAAGCCAAGCTTTGTTTGACCAAAGTACTGCTTTCGACTAGAAAAAAAAAAAATTAGTACTTATTTGGCAGTACTTGTAAAAAGACTTACCTTGCTTCAAATTCTCAAACCACTGCTTCACTTGGCCGATAATATCCTCGCTCTCAAATCGGGTGCAAACCTTGCCAATAAACAAAATCAAGGTTGCCTTCAGGTTGCTGTTGCTACAAGGAATGACGTCATAAAGAGGCCAAAACCTGCTCTGTATCTTATCGAAAATCCAATCTCTTTCTTGGTGGATGATAAGCAACAGCAAGGAAAACTCGATTTGCTTTTTAGCAGGGTTTTTAATGTATTTGTGGAAAAATTCATTGAAAACTAAATCAATTGGCTGAATAGTGTAGTTGTAGTAATCTTGGAGCAAATGTCCAAAATGCACAAACTTGACGCAAGTCTTTAGCTTGCTAAAGCAAATCTGCACTAGGGATTTGGCCAAAGGATCATCATCTGCTAAAACATTTTAAATTAGAACTCAGGCCTTTTAAGGCTCGGTTTACAACATACCTGCAGCAAAAGGCAATATTTGAGGAAACATTCTAAGCGCAACAAACATTACACTCAAAGGGGCCAAATTCCTATTGTAATAAAAACAATTAAAGACAAACCGCCTGGCCCTCAACAAATCGTTACGCATTTTACACAAAGCCACAAACAACCGAGTAATGTTGTTGTTGTGCCTGCGCCTCACCGCCTTATCCGCCATATCCAGAAACTTATCCACAATTCCTGGATAATTCGACTTGTCCAGTTTGCACAAAAACCCCAACAAGATTTGTTGCAGTTGCGTCAAACTAGGACAATCCGGATTGGTGGGTTTTTGGATTTTTCCAATATCCGTGCGTAATTTGTCCAGGATTATCCAGGCGATTAGGCCTGTTGTTTGGCCGCTGAGTTTTATTATAATGTCGTTTAGAATAGGCTCGCTTGAGGAGAACATTATTAGTTGGTCCATTAAGGCGCGAGCCTCCATGTTGGATAATTTTTGGTGTTTTTCAAGTGGGATTAGTTTTGGTAGTTTGCATGGTAGTTCGATTATGTCTGGCGACATTGGCCGATCTGTTTCGGTTAAGGTTGCTATTGGTTGCTTCAAAGGCTCCATGCCTTCTAGGATATGGCCTAAAACATCTCTGTTTCTTTTTCTCTTGTGTGGAGATCTTTGGGGTTTTTGGGGTTCTTCCAAGCCAAATGAACCTTTATTGGGCAATTTTGGTTCTTCATCTGATAAGTACAAATCAGCTTCAAGATCTACATAATCATCAAACGTGATTGCTTTTGATGTTGTAGCAACCCTTGATTTTATTGGTTGGGGTGATGGAGGCAAAGGGCTCAACATTGGGGAATATTTCATGGTTTCAAGACTTTTGAGGATGTTTATTAGTGAATCTGAAGGACTTGTTGACAGTTCTGAGTCCAAAGTTTCAGAATTCAAAAGTTTCTCATGAGCATTACAAGGTTTCAAATTTGGCTCCACAATTAGATCTTCTAGAATTTGTGATTGAGTTTCACAAGTTTTTGAATCTAAATTGGGAAGTTCTTCTTCATCTAGAATCTCTTTTTGTAGGTCTTCTAGAGTCTCACAAGCTGCCAAATCCAAATTGGGAAGTTCCAAAATTTCCTTTGTTTGTAGCTCTTCTAAATTACAGATGCCCAAATCCAGAGCTTCTTCTCTTTGTAGTTCTTCTAGATTGTTTGTCTCAGCCCTACAGATTTCTAAATCCACATTAGGATGTTCCAAATTTGACATCTTCAATTTGACTTCTCTTTGTAGCTCTTCTACAGTGTTGACCTGACCTTCACAGACTTCCAAATTCAGAAGTTCTTCTTGTTGTAGCTGTTCTACAGTGTTGCTCTGACCCTTACAAACACCCAAATGCAGAGTTTCTTCTCTTTGTAGTTCTTCTAAAGTGTTGGTCTGATTCTCAGAAACTCCCAAATCCAGAGGTTTTTCTCGTTGTAGCTCTTCTACAGTGTTGCTCTGACCCTTACAAACACCTAAATGCAGAGTTTCTTCTCTTTGTAGTTTTTCTAAAGTCCGATCCTCACACACTCCCAAATTCAGAAGTTCTTCTAAAGTGTTGGTCTGATTCTCAGAAACTCCCAAATCCAGAGGTTCTTCTCGTTGTAACTCTTCCACAGTGTTAATCTGACCTTTACAAACACCCAAATGTAAAGTTTCTTCTCTTTGTAGTTTTTCTAAAGTCCGATCCTCACACACTCCCAAATTCAGAAGTTCTTCTAGAGTGTTGGTCTGATTCTCAGAGACTCCCAAATCCGGAGGTTTTTCTGGTTGTAGCTCTTCTACAGTGTTGCTCTGACCCTTACAAACACCCAAATGCAGAGTTTCTTCTCTTTGTAGTTTTTCTAAAGTTCGATCCTCACACACTCCCAAATTCAGAAGTTCTTCTAAAGTGTTGGTCTGATTCTCAGAGACTCCCAAATCCAGAAGTTCTTCTTGTTGTAGCTCTTCTACAGTGTTGCTCTGACCCTTACAAACACCTAAATGCAGAGTTTCTTCTCTTTGTAGTTTTTCTAAAGTCCGATCCTCACACACTCCCAAATTCAGAAGTTTTTCTAAAGTGTTGGTCTGATTCTCAGAAACTCCCAAATCCAGAGGTTCTTCTTGTTGTAGCTCTTCTACAGTGTTGCTCTGACCCTTACAAACACCTAAATGCAGAGTTTCTTCTCTTTGTAGTTTTTCTAAAGTCCGATCCTCACACACTTCCAAATTCAGAAGTTTTTCTAAAGTGTTGGTCTGATTCTCAGAAACTCCCAAATCCAGAGGTTCTTCTTGTTGTAGCTCTTCCACAGTGTTGATTTGACCTTTACAAACACCCAAATGTAGAGTTTCCTCTCTTTGTAGTTTTTCATAAGTCCGATCCTCACACACTCCCAAATTCAGAAGTTCTTCTAAAGTGTTGGTCTGATTCTCAGAGACTTCCAAATCCAAAGGTTGTAGCTCTTCAACAGTGTTGATCTGACCCTTACAAACATCCAAATGCAGAGTTTCTTCTCGTTGTAGCTCCTCTACAGTGTTGATCTGACCTTTACAAACACCCAAATGTAGAGTTTTTTCTTTTTTTAGTTTTTCTAAAGTCTGATTCTCACACACTCCCAAATTCAGAAGTTCTTCTAAAGTGTTAGTCTGATTCTCAGAGACTTCCAAATCCAAAGGTTGTAGCTCTTCTACAGTGTTGATCTGACCCTTACAAACACCCAAATGCAGAGTTTCTTCTCGTTGTAGCTCCCCTACAGTGTTGATCTGACCTTTACAAACACCCAAATGCAAAGTTTTTTCTCTTTGTAGCTCTTCTAAAGTATTAGTCCGATCCTTACAGACTCCCAAATCAAAATCCAATGATTTTTCCAAACTTGGATCTTCTAGAATCTTCGATTCAACTTCCAAACTATTGCTCTGACCCTTACAAACTTCCAAATCCAGAGATTCTTTTCTTTGTTGTAGCTCTTCCAAACTGCTGCTCTGGTCCTGTGCTAGAATCTTATCGGAATTCAACCAAGTATCATTATCTGTGCTATTTTTTGGACTAGCACTTACTAATCCCGAGTCCAACATGTCCGAATCACTAGAGTTAGGATTTTGGATTTTGGCCAAAGCAACAAGCCTTCTATTTCTACCCAAAATGCCTTTTCTGTCAAACAATCTTTCCAGTTCCGGTTCGGTTTCTGATGTAAATTCACCCAGCCTTCTTTTCCTGCGTCTTTTAGTTATAATATTCGTAATTTTGGCCTTAACTAGTTGACTTAGTATTTTGCTGAGGCACTTTCTGGTTTTGACCGATGAGGATTTTCTGGATGGGAAATTGGTGAAGTTGTTGGGGATCCAGTATTTGCGCCTGCGCTCGATTTGTCTTTGTTTGAGTGCCTCGATTGGGGTTTGTAGAATGAAATTGTCCTTGGTTTCTGCGTTGGGAGTTGGAGGAGTTATGATGATACTCGGATGTGAATCTTCAATGACGGGACTTTCTGGAAAAGTCAAAATTTGCCTTATTGTTGAGAAAAATGTAGTAACAAAATTAGAACAGTCAGAGTAATACGAAATTCAAATAGAACTAGGGTTGCCAGATTTACGAAAAGGAAAAGCATGGCAACGACGGAAGGGGGAGCAGAATTATGATTTTTTTTATTAGTTCTATAAAAAGTATCCCGCCACGGCAGGACAGTGTTGCCAACCGTACTATAATTATAGTATTTGTACTAAAATTGAATAGTTATAAAATATAACATATATTTTTGACAGTTGACATTTTAAATGTCAACTGTCAAAAGTGTTTTTTAGGTGACTGGGTTTACACTGTCAATTGTCAATTTCATTGATTTTCCTGAGCGGATCCTATTTTTTATACCAAAAAAGATGTTATCGAACGCACCCCTATTTAATTTTTATAATTATTTTTAATTTTGTTGTTTTTCGCGGGAAAAATTTGAAATTTTAGTGTGATGCGCCACTGACTTTTTTCTTTTTTTTCCAGAAAATGTCCTAATTTTTCCCTGAATAGTTTTACAGAAGAAAAATAAAATATTGAATGGTGCATTTATGCCTAATTCAGTTGATTTTCATTAATTTCCATAGGGTTATTTTCCATTTGAAAAATTTAAAATTTTACTGTGATACGCTCCTGACTTTCCTCTTTTTTTCCAGAAAATGTCATAATTTTCTCCTGAATAGTTTTCCAGAAAAAAAATAAAATATTAGATGGTGCATTTAGTCTAATTTAATTGATTTTTATTAATTTCCAATAGGTTTATTTTTCATTTGAAAAATTTGAAATTTTAGTAAGATACGCCCCTGACTTTTCTCGTTTTGTCCAGAAAATTTCATAATTTTCCTCTGGATAGTTTTCCAAAAAAAAAAAAAAAATGTTAGATGGTGCATTAATGCTTAATTTAGTTGATTTTCATTAATTTCCAATGGGGTTATTTTACATTAGAAAAATTTGAAATTTTAGTATGATACGCCCCTGACTTTTCTCGTTTTGTCCAGAAAATTTCATAATTTTCCTTTGGATATTTTTCCAAAAAAAAAAAAAGTTAGATGGTGCATTATGCCTAATTCAATTGATTTTTATTAATGTCCAATGGAATTATTTTCCACTGGAAAATTTTGAAATTTTCCTATAATGAACTTCTCACTTTCTTCTTCCTTCTAGAAAAATTTGAGAAAATTACAAAAATTTAAAAATATCACAGAAATTAAGAAAATTAAAAAAATTACAAAAATCACAAAATTTATAAAAAATTTCAAAAATAAAAATTCACAAAAAATCATTGAAATTTATGAGAATCAAAAATCATGAAAATTCACAAAAATCATAAAAATTTTAAGAAATTACAAATTACAAACTTACAAAAATCACGAAAATCATATAAAAATTTACAAAAATCACAAAAATCGTAGAAATTTTCAAAAATCATAAACATTCATGAAAACTATGAAAATTTCCAAAAATCACAAAATACCCAAAAAATTATGGAAATACTTATATGAAAATCAAAAATTATAAAAATCAAGAAATGCACAAAAATTCATAGAAATTTATGGAAATCAAAAATTATGTAAATATAAAAAAAATCATGAAAATTTCCAAAAAAAAAACTGTCCAAAAAGTACAAAATGAAAAAAAAAATCATAAAAATTTATGAAAATTAAAAATAATGAAAATTTCCAAAAAGCACAAAATGCGCATAAAATCATGGAAATTTATGATAATCAAAAATCAAAAAAATTTATAAAAATCAAAAATCATGAAAATTCAAGAAAATTACAAAAGATTACAAATATTCGAAAAAGTCATAGAAATTGAGTGAATCAAAAAAAATAAAAATATCACCAAAATCGTGAAAATTGAAAAATTTGAAAACATTAAAAAAATTCAAAAATTTTGAAAAATTGAAAAAAGTTAAAAAATTTGAAAATTTTGGAACACTTTTCTACAAATACATATGTAATAAAATGGTCTTTTAGAATTTGTACTAGAGCTGGTACATTTTTTGTTCTGGAATTTAAATTATAAAAAAATTTCGAAAATTTTCTTCTAAAATTCAAAAAAAAAAAACAAAAATTTGAAAAATTCAAAAACATTGAAAAAATTCAAAAGTTCAAAACAAACTAGAATTTTTTTTGTTTATTCGAAATTTTTCCTAAAAAAGAAATTTTTACAGAACTTTTTTCAAAATTTTTTTTTGAATTTTTTCCAGTTTTTTTTTTTTTCAACGAGTTTTTACACAAATATTGGAAAAAAAAATTCATTGAAACTCGTTAAATTTTATTTTTTTCTTTGTTTTTCCAACTATGTAATTTTCGGGGTTTAGTTCAGTAATTCCAAAAAGTCAAAATTTTTGTAATTTTTCATGTTTCTAAATTTTTATGATTTTTGTAAATTTTCATAAAAAACTATATTTTTTTGTGCATTTCGTGATTTTTGGAAATTTACATGATTGTTCTGATTTTTGTAATTTTCCTGATTTTTTTAATTTCCACGTTTTTTTTCGAATTCTTGTAATCTTTTGTAATTTTCTTAAATTTTTATGATTTTTGTAAATTTTCATGATTTTTAATTTTTATACATTTCTATATTTTTTTGTAAATTTTTAGGGTACGTACATAAATTTTTTTGTGATTTTTGTAATTTTACTGACTCTTTTTCTATGGTTTTTTCGAGTTTTTATAAAATTTTGCATTTTTCTTAAATTGTCATAATTTTTGTAAATTTTTATGATCTTCGTAATTTTTGTAAATTTCTATGATTTTTTTTGTACATTACGTAATTTTTGTTTTTTTTTTTTAAATTTGTAAATTTTTATGATTTTTGGAGATTTCTATGATTTTTGTGATTTTTGTAAATTTCTATGATATTTTATGCATTTCGTCGTGATTCTTGAAAATGTTTATGAGTTTTTCTGTATTTTTATGATTTTTCAAAATTTTCATGATTTTTATAAATTTTCATGATTTTTGTAAATTTTTATAATTTTTTGTGCATATTGTGATTTTTGGAAGTTTTCATGATTTTTGGAAATTGTGAGGATGAATTTTGCTTAATTTTTTTTTTAAAAAGTCAATTTTTCAAAATTTTTCCTGGAGTGAATTCTCACTGGAAAATTTTGAAATTTCCCTTTAATGAGTTCCTCATTTTTCTCTTTTTTTTGGAAAATTTTTACAATTTTCCAGAAAAAAATTAAAATGTAAAAAGGTGAATTTTGCCTAAAAAAATCAATTTCCCAGAATTTTTCCTGGAGTCATTTTCCACTAGAAAATTTTGAAATTTTCCTATAATGAGCTCCTCACTTTCCTCTTTCTTCTAGAAAAATTTCACAATTTTCCCTTTGCCAGATTTCTAGAAAAAAATTAAAATGTAAGAGGGTGAATTTTCTTTAATCTTGAATCTTACTTAAAAGAGTTAGTTTTTCAAAATTTTTCCCAGAGTGATTTTTCATTGGAAAAATTTGAAATTTTAGTATGACACGACCCTGAATTTTTTCATTTTGTTCAGAAAATTTCATAATTTTCCTTCGGATAGTTTTCCAGAAAAAAAATAAAATGTAAGATGGTGCATTTATGCCTAATTTAGTTGATTTTCGTTAATTTCCAATAGAGTTATTTTTGACTGAAAAAATTTGAAATTTTACTATGATACGCCCCTGACTTTCTTCTTTCTACGAAAATTTATTGAAATTAATGAAATATGTACTTGGATCTATAAAAATTAGTTGGAATTGGAAAATTCAAAGGAATTGCAAAAATATATTAAAATTGTAAAAAATTGAAAAAATTTGTTAAAAATGTGAAAAATTAATAAAGTTGGGATTTGAAGTTTTAAAAAATATAGAAAAATTTATTGGAATTGCAAAAATTTAACAGAATTGCGAAAATTATCAGAATTACAAAAAATTTCGAATTGCAAAGAATTTGGAATTACAAAAATTTAATAGAATTGTAAATTTTATTAAAATTGTAGCAATACTTAAATTTGTAAAAATTTGTAGATATTGAAAGATTTACTGGAATTGTAAAAATTTTAAAAAATCGTTAGAAATGTGTAAGTTCATCGAAATTGTGAAAATTATTAGAATTCCAAGAAAATTTAGATTTTGAGAGAAATTTGGAATTGCATAAAATTTATTGGAATTGCCAAAATTTTTGCACTTGCATGAATTTATTGAAATCGATAAAATTCATTGGAATTGCAAAAATACTTGGATTTGTAAACATTTGTTGAAATTGAAAATTCATACATTCATTGAAATTGCAAAAATTTGAAGAAATTGGAAGAATTGGTTAAAAATGTGTAAATTCATTGAAATTGCAGAAAATTATTAGAATTGAAAAAATTTAGAATTGTAAATATTTGGAATTACATAAAATATAAGATAGTGCATTTATGCCTAATTTGGTTGATTTTCATTAATTTCCAAGAGGGTTATTTTCCACTGGAAAAATTTGAAATTTTAGTATGATACGCCCCTGACTTTTCTAATTTTGTCCAAAAAATTTCATAATTTTCCTTTGGATATTTTTCCAGAGAAAAAATAAAATGTTAGATGGTGCATTTATGCCTAATTTAGTTGATTTTCATTAATTTCCAATGAGGTTATTTTTCACTGGAATAATTTGAAATTTTACTATGATACGCCCCTGATTTTCTTCTTTTTTTTCTAGAAAATGTCATTATTTTCCCCTGAATAGTTTTCCAGAAAAAAAAAAATTAAATGGTGCATTTATGACTAATTTAGTTGATTTTCATTAATTTCGAATAGGTTTATTTTTCATTTGAAAAATTTGAAACTTTATTATGATATGTCCCTGACTTTTCTCATTTTGTCCAGAAAATTTCATAATTTTCCTTTGGATAGTTTTCCAGAAAAAAAATAAAATGTGAGATGGTGCATTTAGGTATGTCTAATTCAATTGATTTTCATTAATTTCCAATGGGATTATTTTTCACTGGAAAAATTTGAAATTTTAC